CATGGTGGTGCGACCAGGTACAATATTAATTTAAAGCAATAAATAATTTAAAGTTAAAGTGAATTTTTTTTGCTTGATATGATGTGAAGAACTATTGTATTGAATGTATTCATTTGAATATTTGTATTATTAAGTTTCTCTGTTTAAATGTAAAATCAAAAGTTAAATATACTAAATACCTGCCAAGAGAACGCAATTATGATAAATTATTGTATATATATATAAAACACAACCACAAAATACGATGTGTTAGACACAGTAGACACTCTAAGGGATACTTGTCAGAAATTTCAGTTTGAATAAATATTAGGAAAATATATATTTTTTATAAATGTGTGGTTGCGCCACCTGACATTTTTTAGCCTGTGAAGTTAAAAAATACTGTTAACTATTTAAAATACTATGAAAAGTTCACAACTTAGACTTGTTTCACCACATTGTTCCAGACACAAAAATATGCATTACATCCATTTTGAAGATAATTTTTAAAATGACCTTTTTAGAAGCCTTATTCGTCAATGACCCAAATACATAAACACACTTATCACTGAACATGTTATCAGAGTTATGAGGAGCAATAAGTCATTGTGATTCATCAACACACATCATTACAGTGTCTACAGCACCTGTCTGTGACTCTCACAGAGGGGGCGTGTCTACAGCACCTGTCTGTGTGACTCTCACAGAGGGGGCGTGTCTGCAGCACCTGTCTGTGACTCTCACAGAGGGGGCGTGTCTACAGCACCTGTCTGTGACTCTCACAGAGGGGGCGTGTCTAAAGCACCTGTCTGTGACTCTCACAGAGGGGGGGTGTCTGCAGCACCTGTCTGTGACTCTCACAGAGGGGGCGTGTCTACAGATCATTACACCACTAATATTTATAAAGTCAGCTGACGTCTGAGGAATGTGGACCGTCCACATGTCTCACTCTCACACCTGAGACACTCCCTCCGTCACCATGACGGGGGGATCTGTGTCAGACTCATGTTGAGATGCAGATTAATGTTTGTGCTGCTGGGGCTTAAAGAATGGAGGTCACACACACACACACACACACACACACACACACACACACACACACTGTGTGTGTGTGTGTCATGTGACAGGTCAGCTGATGATTGATTTTGAACATTTAAAGTATTTTTATTGTTGTTTTGTTGTTTCCGTACAAATAAATTTTCCGCTTCACAATAAAAGCCTCTCTTGGTCCCCATGAGAACAACAAACCACCACAGAAGAAGAAGAGCTCGTCACGTTCCAGCTCAGGAATGTGTGATGACATCATGAACAATAGACACTGAACATAAAGACGCTTTTGTTCCTGAAGTATTAGAATGTGATAATCATCACTCTATAAAGATACACATTGTTATAAAACAATAAAATCCTACTAAGTAAAATTCTTAAAAACAGTAACAATTTAGCAATAATAATAAAAAAAGACAATAGTCATTTATTCTAATTCATTTAATTTAATTTATGAGTTTATTGTTTAGTACTTTGACAGACCTTTTTATTTTATGATTATTAAAATTAATATTTATTTTATTTATGCAGGTAATATTTCAACATTGTCTGAATTTAAAACTTTATATATACATATATTTTATTATTTTTAATTTATTGATCGATTCATAATTTTTAGAAATTATTATGTTATTTATTAATAACTGTATGGATCATTCTCCATCAAACCTTCAAAATAAAACCAACATCCGGATCGGTGCTCTCACCTCTCGTGCGATCTGGTTCAGTGCCTCGTCCTCCGCGGTCTTCTTCTCCTGGTTCTGGACCCTCTTCCGACCCGGTCCCTGGGTCCCCATGGTGCCGGACCGGGTTTTACGTGGAGCTGAATTATCCACAGAGGTCTAATGTTTCTAAAGGACCCAAAAGCTAAAACCAGGGCGCGAGATTAACTAAATAACTCGGTTTGAGGTTTAAATCCGTTGTTTCTCTGACGCGGTTCGGCGGTCACCTTCTCCCGGTTCCGTACCCTCACGTCTCCATCGTTACCGGAGACCGAATGACCCACGAGCCGTCTCCTTTAATCCTGAATCACAAACACCCGGTGGCGAGGAGCGGAAGCACATGAAGCGGTCACTGATTAAAACGAGTGTTTCTGACGTTGTTCGTTCTAACATCGTTCTAACATCGTTCTAACATCGTTCTAACGTCAACGTCGTTCTAACGTTGTTCTAACGTCAACGTCGTTCTGACGTTGTTCTGTCAGAGAGGACGTCGAGCTGTCACCCGGAGCTAGCTTAGCGTTAGCTAGCTTCCAACCGTCACAACCGGCAAAACCGCCGGTGGTGGTTGTTGTTGATGTAAACGCATCCCGACACCACATTCCGCAGTGTGACAAGAGACTCTTATTGTGGTGGGGTGCGACGGATGTTCGCTGTCAAGCTACACGCGTTTAGATACTAACAGGAAGTTGCGGTTCAAAATAAAAGCTGACGATATTTAAAATATCTAAAATATTTTTTGTTCCTCACGTTATTTTATTTTTAATGATTGTAATAAAAGCTTAATAAGTGTGTGAAATATGTAAGAAGATCAATAACTCATCCTCAGTTTATTTTAGAGTTTATTGATCAGAAAGACAAACAATGACACAGATCAATACATTTAATCATCAATACAGTAAATACACACATACATATACATACACGTATATGTATACACAGTATTTCCTTTCATCTGTCATCAGACAATCAAACAATATGTGTCCAATAACTGATCAATAATCAGTTTACAATCAGAAGTCGATCCATCGACAGCAATACGAGTAAAGAGACTCTATTGTGTTTCTACTGACGTTACATTCTATTTTCTACGTTTAGTGATTATATAGAAGAGATTGAAGTTCAATGGTGCCAAATCTAAATAGATTTAAAAATGAAAAAAATAGTAAAATATCTTTATTTAGTATTTTTATGATTTAATTTTTTACAACAAAACTTTATTTATTTCAGTAATTCAAATTAAATTCACAATTTCATCCGTTTAATTTACTGAAATCCAATTTTATTTTCGTACAGTTTTAGTTGTAAAAGAAATTAATATTGTCAAAAATATCTTTTAAATTCAATTATTTTCAAAGATTTCTGTAAGTTTTAGGTTTTAAATGTAATTATAAAAAATATTATTTTAGTTTGAATTGAGCTTAAATCTGTTTTAACTCTTTTCTTAACTTGTAATTCTGAATTGTATAATTTTGTTTTTTATGGTTTTAATACTTCATATAAATAATCTTTATTTTCTTTGATTGTTTAAGAAACAAATCTTTGAACTTTTAAATCTTTAGTTTTAATAGTTTAGTTCATTAATGTCTTGTGTAAAATGATCAATATTGGTTTTATAATAATTTAATCATTAATATTAAATCCAAAGTTCAAAGTATTTCACGTTCAAAATAAAAAAGACAAAATTTGATTCTTTAATTATTATTTCTGTCGATTTCATTTCATTTATTTCATTTTATCAGAATTTCAAACGTACTTTTTTTTAAGGAGGATTTTTGTTTTCACATATTTTTTAAATATTTGACAGAAAAATAATTAAAACATGTCTTCATCACACAAAGAAGAATGTGATGATTCAGCAGAAAGAAAAGAAGTTTGAGCTTCAGAACATGTTTGACTTCCGCTGAGCTCCGTTACTGCCCTCTGTCAACAACAACAACAACAACAGTTATTCTCTGTGTTCAGGACTTAAAGCTATAACTTCAGTAAACTATAATAATTCATAACCATGTTTGTGATGTAAAAACTTACTGCAGAAATCTTGTGTCGCTTTTTTCCTCTGAGATCCAAAAACCTTTTGAAAAGAAACATCAATAAAAAGAATCAAATGACAAACTAACAAAATATCAAAATAATCTCATAACAAAATATGGTAAATATATAAATCAACCTGTTGTAATGAAATATACACCACACAGATATTTTAATTGTAAGATAATTTTCTTTTAATTTGAAAATATATGAAAAATAATATATATAATTTTTTTTAATTCATATATATATAATTTTCATGAATATTTGGCTTCATGTTTTGAATGAAGTTATAACTAAAGAGAAAAGATACAAATATTCAAACTTTTCTGATATTCCTTTTTGTCACGATGAAGATCTTTTAATTGCGTTGAATAAAAACGAACCTTCTTCGATCCGGCAGCGTTCAGAGCTGCGATCTTCGTCTCGATATCAGACGCCTGCACAAGAAATGTATTCATATTATTATTAACATTAATGACACAACGCCCCATAATTACAGCCTGTTTTACTCGAGCGTCTTTGTTCAACTCGTCCAGACTGTTTTTTTGTTTTTTCTGTACTTCTTCTCTTTGTTATGAGATAATCTTTGTGTGATCATTTTCATGTTAGATATGAAAGATGATATTTTTTCCTCACCTCGCTCTCGGCGCTCTGGACTCGGGCGGCGGTCCGAGTCACCACGTCCTCCAGCTCCGACAGCTCCGAGTCCGTCGCCCCCCCGAACCGAGTCTTGGCGCCCTTTTCGAGTCGTCGCAGCTTCGTCTCGAGCTCGTAGGACTGACCGGCCGCCATGTACACCTGCACAGGTAACACGAGGAACACACCTGAGACGGAGCTAAGACACACCTCCACAACCGAGAACAGGGCCGAGTATCGCTGACGGACTCAGACTGGGTTCACTGGGTTAATTAGTTAGTTTTATCATATTCAGGAGGTGGTTTTATCATATTCAGGAGATGGTTTTATCATATTCATGAGGTGGTTTTATGATATTCATGAGGTGGTTTTATGATATTCATGAGGTAGTTTTATCATATTCATGAGATGGTTTTATGATATTCAGGAGATGGTTTTATCATATTCATGAGGTAGTTTTATCATATTCATGAGGTAGTTTTATGATATTCATGAGATGGTTTTATGATATTCATGAGATGGTTTTATGATATTCATGAGGTGGTTTTATCATATTCAGGAGATGGTTTTATCATATTCGTGAGATGGTTTTTTGATATTCAGGAGATGGTTTTATCATATTCAGGAGATGGTTTTATGATATTCAGGAGATGGTTTTATGATATTCATGAGGTGGTTTTATGATATTCATGAGATGGTTTTATCATATTCAGGAGATGGTTTTATCATATTCAGGAGATGGTTTTATCATATTCGTGAGATGGTTTTATCATATTCGTGAGATGGTTTTATCATATTCGTGAGATGGTTTTATGATATTCGTGAGATGGTTTTATGATA